GCCAATCGAGGTGTCGTGTCACAAGGGGGCGGGACACGAAATAGATCCCGCCCACGCACAAATGTGATTGGACACAGTTCCCAAACAGGCTCCGCTACCGCTGTAACTGATTGGTTGAGAGGTTTTTTATGAGCACGTCAATCATCAGAATTTCCTCGTGCAAGCCTGAAGCCAGCCCACGATGGAATCTGATTGGTTGATCCGGTCATAAGTTGACCTCCCCTCGGTGTAGCTGCTGTTTGGGTTCGTTTAATGTCAACTCAGCCGAGCGGACGTTGGTAATGGTGCGTTTACGTCTCATTTCACGACGATACGGGCTCATTTCTCTGTCCTCGTGCTGTCACAAGTCGGTTGAAATCCCGGACGATTCTCCAGTTAGTGTGTAAAGTTTAGCAGCCGAGAGCACTGTTTGTCAGGTGACTGAGAATCCGAGTTATTAGTTAAAACGAGCTGATACATTGAACTGCAGCTACCTTGTGCTCTTGTTAATATCAATAACATTAATGTTAGAGATGGGATTTATGGCTCTTTCAGGGGAGCTGGATCTTGGTGAGCCGTTCCTTTCAAAGAGCCGTTCAAAAAACTGGCTCCTTTGACTGATTTTTATATTTATTAAGTTTTAAGAAGCCAGCCTGGTGGTAACTCATTTTATCTTGGAAATAATCACTAGGAGGTATGATGGGGTGAGATTTGGAACAAAATAATACAAAATTAGATATCCCACCAATATCTGAGTTTGAATTATTCTGAAATATTGATTATAACCTCATTTGACATGTGTGGACTAGATTTTAAAGTCTGATCTGGATTCATTGTAAATATTCCACAAGGTTGCGCCATATCACTCTGCTTTGACAGTGACATCACTATTTTGGATTTACCCTTTATACAAATTGTTTGTATGTGTGTAAAGCTACCATGACTTGTTATTCATGCAACACCGTGACCTTAACACTTACAAATAAACATTAAAAAACAAAGCAGGCTACAATGAATTTTGCTCAGGGGAGGAGCAAAGGAGGAGCACACAGTGATATTAAAAAAAAAAAAAAAAAAAAAAACGGTTCCCAGCTGCGACTCGGTTCCCATCGTTCATGTTAACGAGCCGTTCAATAGAATCGGTTCATTCATGAATGTCACAACACTAATTAATGTGGATTAGACTCTGTTTAACTGGTCCACTACTGAGCTAGTAAACTCTACTAAATCTTTGACTGAGGTCACTAGTCTATGAAAAATACTAGTCCCCTGAATGCCCCAGTTTTCAGTAAATTCATAGCTAACAGTATAAAATACAGTAAAACTTCAAGCCTGAGCTTTTATTTGCTTATATCACTGAGATCAACAGGCCTATATTTGGGACAAGCGTCTATACAGGACAGACCTTTAATTCCTCTCACACAAAAGCTCAGCAAAGATCAGGAAATGCAATCAAATTGTTTATTGAAACCAGTATTAATATTGTTTAAAAATTAGGCTTCAGATAACATATCAATTATGTGTCATTTATTTGATCTAGGTCCGTCAGTCAGAGCATCAGAGAGTGAGTTACTGGACCCAGCGTACCAACACAACACCATTTTATCCTGTTAAAACAATCCTCACAACTTGAATTAAGTTTTACTTTAAACCCCTTTGATTCTTTTGGTTTGAGGACTCTTACAGACTAAAGGAATATGAATAACTTACAGGGTAATCTAGGAATGGACACATCATTTGAGGTAGACAACAACCCAGTTTTATACATTCGAAGAACTTCTATTAAAAAAAAATGAACTGCTTGGCAACCAGACCAGGCCTCTAATTGCGACAGGCATTTATTTGTCAAAATGTGAAGCAGCACGGGCTAGTAAAAGGGACTAGGCTTTTAATTGAAGTATATAAACTTTATGTATATAGCACCCTTCAAAACAAAGTTACAAAGTGCTGTACAATAAAACTAAACACATTTACAACACAAGGAGAATGAAAGACTAAAATGTAGAGCAGGATGTGCTCTCAGATAGAAGTGTGATTTTAGGAGAGACTTAAACGAAGACAGTGACTCAGACAGCCTTATAACCTCGGGCAGGTTGTTCCAGAGCTTCATGGCCCAGATTTCAAAAGCTCTGGTATAAAAAAGTAGTAAACATTCTGTGAGTCCATAAAATCAGTCTCCCATTCAGTGTTTATAAAGCAGATTCATACTTACATTGAAACTATATCAAAATATCCATTTAAAAACGTTCACACAACTTGTGCAGGATAAGTGTCTAGTCATATGCTCAGTACGTCCCAAACTTGTGCATATCCCCTTAAAAAACCTCAGTACTGGAGTCTAGCTTTACGTTTCACTTCCAGTTCAGTTTTATATAGTGAGGTTTTAGCATGTTGTTTGGGAAGAACTGAGCATATGGCTGGATAAATGATTACACTGCACAAGTTTTGTGAGAGCTTGATTTTTTAATATAGTATTGCTGTTGTTAATCATGGTCCCCAGTTAATTAATACATCAATATGTTTGCCATTTTCTGTGGAGGCATGCAAGAAAACCAAAGTCTTCTCCACAAACTTGAGGGATTACAACATGACTAATTAATATACAAATGTCATTTTGTGGGTGAAGTCTTCCTTCAATCTAATGATTGAGTAGACTGCAGAGGGCACAAAGAACAATGACCTAGCTGAATATTTGAAGCCCAGTTGCACAATTGTGGTTCAATAATGGTTGAGGGTTACTCACACTTTCCCTGGACTGGAAAACAATTTCAGAATCCAAGTTCAGCAGTTTTCTCTCTCACCATGTAACACTGTGGGGACATCAACTAAATGAAATTTGAAATCTGTTTTTATCTTTGTTAAAACAGTTAATATTGAAGGCGAGAAGAAAAACATCAATATAACAGCGATTCCAAACTTTTTAATGCCAGTGTATAAAATATAACAAGACATTCTTTGCAGGTTGCAACACTGCAACTAGTGACTGCTTATACTGATTCAAAGAGGCTGACCTTTGACGTAACATTATCTGTACAGAACAATGCTTTTACTGTGCTAGGCACTTCTTATTTTCTTGCATACCAAAGCAAAATTTCTGAGGAATATTTTGGACACAGGAAGGTTTCAATTTAGAGTCAATAGTGGAATTTCTGTACAGTGAAACAAGAGAAAGGGTAATCCTGTTGAAATGCCCTCAGTTAATCTGTCTTTGGGAAACTGGCTCTGATATCACTGTAGTTTTTATAAGTAGTAATAAACCATTAATAACAATGTCACTGGGCACTGTAATAAAACCAGCCTCTGACCTAGTATGCTGCTTATTTAGCTTTGAATATTAACTGGTCAGGGGTATAAACTAGGGGTAGGGCACGACAAGATCAGTGCTTCTCCCTATCCCCTTTTTTCGGACATATGGACTCTAAAATTATAAAAATTGCAGAGATTTTTAAAAAGGGCATCATGATAGGATTTGTATTTTCTATTGCATTTTTTTCTTCTTTTTTTTCTTTCCCTTTTGCATTTTCTTTTCTTCTTTCTTTTTTTCTCTCTTCATTTATATTTCCAAATGAATGTATTCTATTTCTTTGTCCAACATCCGAAAATAAACTAAACTAAAAGACCTTTGGCTAGTCCGAATGCCTCTAATGAAGTAACATATTTCAGTACTCTTTTCTCCTCAGCTGAATGAAATAGGCTTTAAAGATGGATATCTACAGCATGCTTTCATATGCAGTTTGAATCCTGTTCAGTGAGATCAGATTCATGTTAAAGTAAGGAAATATTTATGTATTTGTAGAATCACTGTCTGGGGTCTGAGGCGTATATGTTCACTATATTTGATGACAGAACGCAGCCTCACTTGACACTAAAAGTCATACTTGGTGCGCTTGACATAATTTATTTAATTTTAAGTCAATTTTTGAGATTTGAGTTAATTTAACTAAACTTTATGAAGCTTTGCCTAATTAGTTTAAGGCCAATAAACAACACTATCATTATGCACTTAACATATGTTGGCATGTTGGGGATAAATTTGTGGAGTTTACCAGTTTGAGACAATGTGTTTAAGGCCGTAAGCCAAAGAAAACTGTGTTTAAATGTGTTCTCAATCACTCACACAGCCCATTATGCAGAGATTAATGTTTATGTATTTCACAATGGTTCTAACAGGCTACAGTTAATGGTGTGGTAGAAGGTATTTTGCACCATGACGTCCCTCATAAAGTTGTGCTGAGGCGAATACAGAGCATGTCCTGGTTCAGAATTAATCTCTTTGCCTTACTCCTGCAATTGAGTTAGCTACAATATATTTTTATAGCTTGATGAAATAAAAAAAATGTTGTGAAATGTGTACTCAATGTTTTTATGTTCATATTACACAGAATTAAATGATCAAATAACAACAAAAAGTTATGTTAAAGTAACATAAAATTCCAGTCAGACAAGCGCTATACAAGTGCAGTCCATTTACCATAAGACATGTTTCACAAGACCTGGCAAGAACAAGAAAACTAGAGGGTTATTATGAAACCATTTCTATTAGACATACTTACTGCATCCATTTAAATTCAGTCTAATGCTGTGACTTTCCGAAAGATAGATCTACATCTATGTATGACTAACATACTCACTTGCAAATGCAAATGGAAAATAATATTTTACTAGTACACATACTTGATCAGCAACAGTATAAAAGAAATAACAGCCACTCCAAGTAAAGGTGTGTTTTTGAGGTGTGGATGGTTGTACAGAGGTGGGTCCAAACTGTCGGCCACAGTGTGTGTTTCATTTCGTGACAAGTAGATAAACATCTTTTAATGACACAGTTTTTCACTATTCCTCTAAAATATAAGTAAATCATCTAATTTCATTTGTCCTGCACAATTCTATATCTAAAGAGTTGCTTTTTATTCAATAGATTTGTTTCTTTAATAGACAGGCCCTCTGGTATGTTTTTTTAAGGGGGGGCGGGGATAAAAACGTGGGGAGGAGCTATCATAACCAGTTAAGTTAGAGGCACTGAGAGGGAGGAAGTACACAAGGCAGAGAAAGTTGCACAGTTCTGTCTCAGAGAGGAGGCAGAAAGCTCCTGCATCATGAGCTCTGAAACAACCAAAGAAACTATAGTAGTGAAGACAGGAGAAGCTGCTGCTGCTCCAGCTGCAGGGAGAGGGGAATGGAAGGTGAGAGGCACCAAATGATTTGCACTGGATGATGTGGGCCTTCATGGCCATCAGACATGACACCTAACCTGTCCTGTGTGTCCTCAAGTGCCCTATGGGTGACCGGCATGTCCACAGAGATGATGTGAGGAAGGTTTGGAACGAGTGCCAAGAGGAGAGCTTCTGGTATAGAGGTATTCTTTTCTCACACTTCTTACTAATCACTGTAGCAAACAAATCTGTGTGATGACTCAGGGTGTGAAAGCAGATACATAGCAGGTATATTCGTACAGATGTAATACACGTTTTTTGTAGTTGAAGCAGCAGGGCAGGGCTCATTAGCCAACACCCTGTTTACTAAATGCTGTGTTTACATTCCTCTTTGTGGAATCTGTGGCCCCCAACACACTCCCACATGAGGGCACAGAGCCACCTTAAAATGACTACATGTTAATTTTTATTGTCATGTTACAATTAAACCATCTTAATCATGCTTACAGTATGTTTGTTTACTCATGCTTATTTTCTGAGCTTATTTTCAGTGAAGAAAGAGATCTTTTGAGGTCTTTTACTTTGGCTGATATGGTCTTGTTCCAAGTCTAGGATGGGTGGAGTTAGACGGGGAGTGTCCTGAGTTCACCCATGTCTATATGCCAAACTGAATCCCTTAAAAAAATGACCTGCTTTGACAAGTTTTGCAAAGCAAACAAAAGGTTTAGGATATGCCAGGCATGCACACCCATGCTCTAATGCCACTGTCAGACCAGAATTACTGCAGCAACGTGAAAGAAACTCAGGGTTGTGAGCATAAGCTGCTGGAGCTAGCTTAGCTGACCACACATGAGTAACATTTCACAAACTGAAAGTGATCCATGTTTTTTGTGTCAACACTTATTGTCTTTATCCTCGATCCCTGTCCTTTTACTCGCTGCCAGCCACGCAGCTGCTGCTGGTGTTCTCTCACCATGCGGTTATATAAACATGAAATCGCAGCAATCAGTACTTCCTGGGTCAGGTTGCGCCCTTTTGCTCAAATTAGTTGGATGAATTGAGTCTTACTACTTCACAGGTCAAAGATCAGTCAGATTAAAGTCAAGTCAAGCAAAGTAGTGATCAATCTGTGACAGGGAGTGAAAGCGTCTCACTCGAGGAGCAGTTTGAAGTCAGTTTGATCAGCTCCTGACCGTTGTATTGTTTGACTTTGTTCTCTTTCTTTATTTAGCTCTGCCCCTCTCTCTGGGTAGCATGGCTGTGACTGGTGGTCTTATCTACAACGGTAAAGCACTGACATTCAAACCCTGTTGATCCGCCACATCACAATGACACATGTAAAATCCCATTCCAGTTGTTTAAGTTCAAGTGTTTTTCCCCATGCAGGTGTCTGGAAACAATCAAAGCGACTTGGCTACTTTCCAAAACTAGCAGGTGTGTACCATCCTGTGTTTTTGACTCACCAGGTAGCAATGCTTGTAAGAATCCCTCAGCAATCATTGGTCTCTGTCTATGATGTTTCGTCCTTCAGTTGCTGGGATCCTTGGTTTTGCAGTGGGGAAAGCATCTTATGTTGGAACTTGTCGAAGCAAGTTTCAAAAGATTGGCATTGAGGGTGGACCCTGGTCTGAGGGGCCCGGCTTTGGACCTTTTAATAAGTCTGGCCATGGACACAGGTAGGGAATACAGTTTAAACATGTCACTTTCTCATTTTGGTGGGAATCAAAGATCCTTAGAAAATTCTGCTGAAGTTTATCTCCCTCATGTGATGCTGTGTTAATGTAAAAACAGTTATAAATGTACAAAGATTCTGTTCAGGGCAGGGGCAATAATCTGAAGGAGATACTCCTGTTGGTATTTTGTTTGCATATGACAAGATAACCGACTTTCACAGCATTCAAATACTTTAATCTTTAACCCTCTGCTTGAATAAATTAAAATATTATAAATATGCATCACTGATCTGAATGTTATCCCAACAGAGCCTGCCACCATGTGTGTGAAGAGTGTAAGAAAAAAGCTCAAGATGCACCTGCAGAACAGTTGAAAAGCTAGAGGTAAGTGGATCATATGTTGACAGAGCATCTAGAAACACATTTAGTGAAACAAAGCTGAAGTTTAAAATCCCACTCGTGCACAGTCTGGATCAGTGATACTCAACTTATGGCCCACATGGCTCCCCACCGAGTCACACTGATAATTTTTTTTGGACTTTCAGTGTAAATAAGATTCCAGAGTGCATTTTAAAACGCATCAAAATAGCTCATTTATCAAAAAGAAGTACCAAGGGGAGGATCCCCCGGCCCCCAGACAGAGCACATTCTCACTCTCAACTTGCTGAATACTGACACTTGGTCAATGGCCCGTCACATCAAAATATGATGCACTAGGTGCCCCTGCTGCATCAGATTTGGACTTTCAGGGACGTGTCAATTTACGCTCGTAACATGCATCATTTCTTTTCTTTTTTTTTTAAACTTCCATTTTCACAGCAGTGGTACAGTTTCTGCCTGTTTCTTTTTTTTAAGAATTTATTTATTGGTAGAAAAAGATTTCGGCACACTTACACCTATGCAGTGTCTCACTTAACTGTGAGCTTTCGGTCTATTCGACCTTCATCAGAGCATACATTAGGCAACAATGGACAGGCTGGTATGCAATACACCTGTGTGCAACCCTGGTGGTAGGAGCTCCACCTTCTGGGAGTTGTAGTTTTTTTAATAATGGATGGCAAACTGAAAGGCATACAAATGGAAGCCATATTTGTCTTGTCATACAGTACCACAATATAAAACAAGGGTGGAAGACCTAATGTATGCTCTGATGAAGGCCGAATACACAGAAAGCTCAGCAGTAAAGTGAGACACTGCATAGATGTAAGTGTGCGGAAATCTTTTTCTACCAATCTGGACTCATTGATGTTTTCAGCACCCTGCCAAGACTGAGCCAAGTGAAGCAGCAGCTATTCTGCAAGAATATACAGTACAGGCCAAAAGTTTGGACACACCTTCTCATTCAATGCGTTTTCTTTATTTTCATGACTATTTACATTGTACATTCTCACTGAAGGCATCAAAACTATGAATGAACACATGTGGAGTTATGTACTTAACAAAAAAAGGTGAAATAACTGAAAACATGTTTTATATTCTAGTTTCTTCAAAATAGCCACCCTTTGCTCTGATTACTGCTTTGCACACTCTTGGCATTCTCTCCATGAGCTTCAAGAGGTAGTCACCTGAAATGGTTTCCACTTCACAGGTGTGCCTTATCAGGGTTAATTAGTGGAATTTCTTGCTTTATCAATGGGGTTGGGACCATCAGTTGTGTTGTGCAGAAGTCAGGTTAATACACAGCCGACAGCCCTATTGGACAACTGTTAAAATTCATATTATGGCAAGAACCAATCAGCTAACTAAAGAAAAACGAGTGGCCATCATTACTTTAAGAAATGAAGGTCAGTCAGTCCGGAAAATTGCAAAAACTTTAAATGTGTCCCCAAGTGGAGTCGCAAAAACCATCAAGCGCTACAACGAAACTGGCACACATGAGGACCGACCCAGGAAAGGAAGACCAAGAGTCACCTCTGCTTCTGAGGATAAGTTCATCCGAGTCACCAGCCTCAGAAATCGCAAGTTAACAGCAGCTCAGATCAGAGACCAGATGAATGCCACACAGAGTTCTAGCAGCAGACCCATCTCTAGAACAACTGTTAAGAGGAGACTGCGCCAATCAGGCCTTCATGGTCAAATAGCTGCTAGGAAACCACTGCTAAGGAGAGGCAACAAGCAGAAGAGATTTGTTTGGGCCAAGAAACACAAGGAATGGACATTAGACCAGTGGAAATCTGTGCTTTGGTCTGATGAGTCCAAATTTGAGATCTTTGGTTCCAACCGCCGTGTCTTTGTGAGACGCAGAAAAGGTGAACGGATGGATTCCACATGCCTGGTTCCCACTGTGAAGCATGGAGGAGGAGGTGTGATGGTGTGGGGGTGTTTTGCTGGTGACACTGTTGGGGATTTATTCAAAATTGAAGGCACACTGAACCAGCATGGCTACCACAGCATCCTGCAGCGACATGCCATCCCATCCGGTTTGCGTTTAGTTGGACGATCATTTATTTTTCAACAGGACAATGACCCCAAACACACCTCCAGGCTGTGTAAGGGCTATTTGACCAAGAAGGAGAGTGATGGAGTGCTGCGGCAGATGACCTGGCCTCCACAGTCACCGGACCTGAACCCAATCGAGATGGTTTGGGGTGAGCTGGACCGCAGAGTGAAGGCAAAGGGGCCAACAAGTGCTAAACACCTCTGGGAACTCCTTCAAGACTGTTGGAAAACCATTTCAGGTGACTACCTCTTGAAGCTCATGGAGAGAATGCCAAGAGTGTGCAAAGCAGTAATCAGAGCAAAGGGTGGCTATTTTGAAGAAACTAGAATATAAAACATGTTTTCAGTTATTTCACCTTTTTTTGTTAAGTACATAACTCCACATGTGTTCATTCATAGTTTTGATGCCTTCAGTGAGAATGTACAATGTAAATAGTCATGAAAATAAAGAAAACGCATTGAATGAGAAGGTGTGTCCAAACTTTTGGCCTGTACTGTATTTATTACATTTTTTCCATACAACACAGAACAGAGCAGCTTGGACACAACATGACAAATAAACTGAGTCGTTAAAAATAAGAAAATAAGAGAAAAAATATAAATGAATAAAAAAATAGTGGGCATTACATCCATCCCCAACCTTCATTGCCTCCTACAAGCAGACAAAGGCAGCAACAAACAAACAAACAAATAGGCTGTATAGACAAATAGCAAGGTTACAAGAAGACTGATTTACAGGCTAAGCCAATTAAGGAAACCCCTGTAATATGGAAGATGACAGTGTAGGTCCAATGTACTTTAAGTAAGGGTCCCAGAGTTTATAAAAAGCCTCTGCTGAGGAGTGAAGCAGACAAGAGATATATTCATTGGGAACACACTGCATTATAAGATTGTGCCACAACTTTTTTGTTTGAGCAGCATCCTTCGTCGAAAAAAGCAGAATATTTTTCCTGGCAGCAAAAGTCAAAAGATGGAAGAGTTTCTTATGTTTGATATTTGTAATATGACCAATCAGGAGACCCAGAAACAGGCACAGCTTTGTAGCTTCACACGTAGCCAAAAACAGTGAATATAGCTAGTTTCTGCTAATTAAAATACAGTCTTTATCAAAACAAACCTAGAGTGTAGGTAAAAAAAAATGTTGTTTTTGGTTTACTTTGTTATGTTTAGGCAACAAAAGCACATAGCTAGGGGCGGCCTGGTAGCTCACCTGGTAGAGCAGGCGCCCCATGTACGAAGGCCTTGTCCTTTCCACAGTGGCTGGGGGTTTGATTCTGACCCACGGCCCTTTGCTGCATGTCATCCCCTCCTTTTCCCTCCCACTTTCATGGTAATATTGTCCTATCAATTAAATGCAAAGAACTTCATATCCTTTTTTTAAAAGATATTTTTTAGGGCATTTTGTCTTTAATAGACAGGACAGATAAGTTTGAAAGGGGGTGGGGGGGGTGACATGCAGCAAAGGGCCACAGGCTGGACTCGAACCCGGGCTGCAGCCTTGTACATGGGGCGCTTGCTCTACCCACTTAATTAAGCCACAAACTCCCCAGAACTTTATATCTTTGAGAAAAAGCACGTAGTTAGGTTGAAAAAAACCCCCATCAGTTTGTCTTAAAATAAGTACACTTGTTACTATTGTAATGTAACGTCATGTGACATATGTCATTGGTATGGCATGATCAGCATACTAGCGCACTACGTTGTTATTAAAACAACCATTGACTTTTGGTTTCATACTGTACACGAACAGTGGGTGAGAGTCTGGGTGAAAGTCTGGGGTTAGTTTGACCCATCCACCTCAATGACCTGTCAGCCCAGCCTACTGTAGTTTCCTGGAGCATCAACAAATGCCACTGCTGGGGTTGTCTCATACCGCTGCTAAAGAGTGCCTCTGTGCAGCTGTGTCTGACACAAACGGGCAACTGACTAAGCGTCAGTATCTGACAAGATGGGAGTAAGACCAGGTTGAACAGAGGCACTGGCTAAGCCCCCAGTGTCCCCAAATCCTTGAAATGCTCCTGTATACACCTGACCTGTGCATGGGGGGCTGTGACTGGCCCCTGGCCTCCTGTCCTTTTGCAAAAGTGGCCCCCAGGCATATTAAGTTGAGCCTCCCTGATCCAGATAAATTAACAAGGTGCTGAGTAATAAAAACAAACTAGTATTCACAAACATAAAATAGCAAACCATGAAGAAAAATCTGTCTTTAAGTATTTATTAGTGCTGTTCCCTGTTTCCTTTACATACTGTTTACATTGACACACTCATGTTAAAATAACCTGAACGCACTGTTTATGTATTTTACCATTCTGCTTTTCAGCCTCATCCAAAACACTGAAAGACTGTCAGCATGGATCAGTCAGTTGCAGCTTTTCTGGTTCTTTAATATAATAAATACTGCATATAATTTGTCTAATGTTTCCTTTTT